AGCAGAAACACAGAACTCAAACAATAGAGGAATGATATGGCGGTCGCTAGCCTGTTACCCGAGACAAACGTAAGGAAACACATACTTAGTACTCTGAAAGAGGTTTATCGTGATTTGGAAAATTTTCCAAACATTGACCCAAACACTGCAGATTATGCTTCTTATAGACTGGAACGTGTTGCTATGATTGCAGTTAATTGTCAAGCAGAATGGCCTAGTGTTATTGACGATGAGGTCATCGATTGTATCGCAAATGCAGTTCAAATATTGGAGAAAAGTGGGAAGGATGCGCCTGCTATTGTTATTAGTGCAGGGAAAAGTGGAAGACCTTCTGTTAATATCCCGAAAGAAACACTAGAACTCTACCTCCAGTATGGGTTTCCCAAAACAAAGATAGCCGAGATTTTTTCAGTGAGTGTTAAAACCGTATCAAGAAGAATCGAAAAGTTCGGGCTCCATGATAAAATTGCGAATCATACCGAAATTATAGACACTGAATTAGATGCTATTGTTGATGACATACTTCAAAGTTTTCCAAACTGCGGAATTAGGCGTATGAGAGGATTTCTTCAGTCAAAAGGTCTGAAAATACAATGGGAAAGGGTCCGTTCATCACTGTGGCGTGTGGATCCAACAGGAGTACTTCTCAGAACTACACAATTAAATACAATTCAACGACGGAAATATTCAGTTCCAGGGACACTGGCCTTATGGCATTTAGATGGCAATCACAAACTCATTCGTTGGCGGTTTGTTGTACATGGCTGCATTGATGGATACTCACGCCGTATTATGTTTTGTGAGTGCTCATCAAACAACAAAGCAGAAACTGTTATGAAATTGTTTCTACAGGCAGTTGCTCAGCACGGTCTCCCATCAAGAGTTCGAGGAGATCAGGGTGGGGAGAATGTCGATGTTGCCTACTATATGCTAAGTCATCCACTCAGAGGGCCAGGTAGAGGAAGTTTCATAGCTGGTAAAAGCTGCCATAACCAAAGAATCGAAAGGTTTTGGCGAGACCTCTTTCAAGGCTGCCTTTTCGTCTACTACTACTTGTTCTACTTTATGGAGGAGAAAGGGTTTTTGGCTATTGACGATGATGTTGACATGCTATGTTTAGAAATCGTTTTTATACCACGCATTAACAATCACATATCGCTCTTCCTGGATGGTTACCATAATCATTCCATAAGAACGGAATCAAACAGAACACCATTGCAGCTTTGGCTACAGGGAAAACTTCACTACCAGCCTGATAACGAAGAAACTCAATTGGACCCCGATGGTACCGACACCTTTGGTATTGACTGGAACGGACCCATACCAATGAGGCCTCAACGTCATGCTGCCGATCGTGTTTCAATTCCTTCATTAAATGTTCTGCTCACAGATGAGATGTTGGAAACGTTAGGTTTAGAAGTTGACTCTTTGAACAATTTTGATGCAAATGGAATTGAAACATTTTTGCTTGTAAAGAATACCATCAGTGACATGTTAGGACCAAGATGATGCCTTTTTTACACTCTAAAACTTCCTTAATGGATTTGCCCTGAAATATTCTTTTTAATTGCTATGCATAATATTCTAAAATCATAACTTTTTTATAGCTTTTGGTAAATGGTGGTATCGGCTTTAAATGGGCCCTTTCTATACAGCATTTCATATAAATTATAACAGAAACATTGTTAAAAGAATTTTTGTGATGTGATAGAGGCTAAGTTTGGTGATATTGAAAAGGAAAAAGAAATACAAAATAGATGATAATTCAAAGTATACAAGCAAGTAAAACAAGAAACAGTTGAGTTTCATTAATTTAGAAATATTTCAATCTATAGCTTACAGTACAGCAAATGTAAAATGCTGTTCATGTATGTTTATAAGGCTCATACTAAATCCTGCAGATCAAAAGAAATGACCAGCAGCCAAAATTTTTTGTTTCTCAGTCATTTGCACAAAAAAGGGAGAGATGTGGGGGTTTGAATTTGAATGCTACAGAAAGTTACATTTCACTGCTTCTCTTCAGATCAAGTATTGGTGTACTCTCCACTGCAATCTTGAGCACCTCAGGTGGCCTAAGAACCATATTCATGGCTGTGTATGCAATGAAATGCCAGCAACTCAGCAACATCAGGCTTAAAGTCAAAACGCTAGGCCCATGGTCACTTGTTTTGACCTGCATGAATTTAACCTGCATTACATGCATTTTACACCTGTCATTGATTATGACTGTTATGAAATTGAAAATGTCTTCTTCTGAATAAGGTTCTAGGGGTAGTGACTTTGTGATCTTACTTTAAACTGCTTATACATCTTCAATTCTTTTTTTATTGCAATACAGCATCATATTTTTAACAGCTGCATAATTCCAGATTGAGAACATATCCAGATCCATGATTATGGCAAATAACAAGCCTGTTTCTTAATTAGTATCAGAACTATGTCAATTTGAGTTGTTAACACTGTAAAGGTATAGCCAAAATGTACAGTGTCTACCCTCTAAAGACCCCACATATTCCTATTCTTGTCAGGTACAAAAATCATGCAGGAAATTTTTGGTCTACTTTTGTAATTGTTAAAAAGACAATATTAAAGGCATTTTTTTATAGCTGACCCAAAGTAACACATTATCAAGTAATTGGGAATCTTTTTGTTGTTTATGAAGTATCTGCTCTATCTTAGGTCACTTTTGATGTTGCATGGTCTCCTGAATGTATTGATTCTCGTTGCTATGACTACAAAGGCATTGCTAGTGTGACAGACTTCTTAATTGTTATGTCCTATGATGAGAGAAGTCAAATATATGGACCTTGCATCGCTGGACCTAATTCAGCATTTGGCACAACATTTAAGGGTAGGTTGAATTTGAAGCCCCGTATGCGGGGGTGAAATAATAGCTACATTTTATTTACATGTGTTTATTGTTGTTTGTTATTGGCACTTTGCAGTGTTCCTTATTTGCTACATATTTATCAACTTTTTACCGCAAGAATTCCATTAGAGTCTGTTGAGTAGCCTGCTTTTGTGACCTTTCCTTTATTTACACACCTGTATTTAAACTGCTATCTTTATCTACTTGACAACTCCAAAAAACACACTCTCTAAATAGAGTGGGGAAGTGATGATGTAGTTATAACCAATCATACAATATTTGGGTTTTGACAACATATCCTCTAAAAGAACATCGTGAAATAGCTTTAATGCATGAAATCATCCTAGATTTGTTACAAACTACCTGAATTCCCATTAAGTTGCTGTAGTTTGACATTGTTTCCCAAACTTCTGAACCATGTCTGGTCTTTCTGTGACCATACTTTACTGTTTTTGCACTTTCAAAAGGTATTTTGATGATGTAATTACTTTGCATAGCATTTGAAGAATACCAAAGTAACATAATTTTTAGATCAATGACAGGCATTGTGTGAAGAAATTGAAAAAACAGTTTTTCAAAAGATTTTCCTATAGTTACATTATAATTTAAGAAAAAGTATTGCGCTGAAGTCTCCTTTTCACAACAAAAATCAAAATAGCATAAATGTTTTGTTGATATCTTTTGCCCAGAGCAGGTGCAAATGCCTTATAAGGAAATATCCTGTTCATCAGAGGCGGATCCAGACTACAGCTACCTATGCAGAAGCATGAGTCAGATTTTAACAACAAAAAATAAAGTAGAAACTATCATAAATTTGTAATCAAGAGTTTCTTTGGCAAATTCTTAAGCAACGTCTGTCTTAGATCTGCCTCCGTTGATACGAACAACCTGCAGATGACAGGGTATATATTTTGCTGACTATCTTTTGACCTGTGCACAGAAGAGTCGTGAGGTAATTCTAGGCATTTTTCTGGTCTGTATTTTCTGAATCTAGAAACTTTTTTGTCCCTCGAGAGCTAATCACCGCTTGTTTGAACTATGCAAACATCTTGTAAGCCAATCAGAGTGTACTTCACCTCTGCAATCTTTGGCGGGAGCATAGGTGAGATTTGATTTATCAAAACAGAAGCTGAGCTTGCCTCTACAGTGGTAAAACCAACCATTAGGAATCAGAGTTGGCTGATGCAATTGTTTAATGGACCTATGCAATTGTTGGTTGCGACAAATGAAATGAGAATTTACTATCACTGCTTCACCCCTGCTAAGGAACTTTTAGCTAAGTCGTTTCTAGCTAAGTCGTTTCTAGCTAAGTCGTTTCTAGCTAAGTCGTTTCCTTAGAATTCCTTTTTGGAACCCCCCATTCAATATCAGTGATACTGATTTTTTTCAGAAAAATTTGGGCGTTTCCACGAAAATGGGCATGACTTCTCTTTTTGACAACCTTTGCATAGGTCAGAATTTAGACTGGGACTGCACCTGTGTTTATATTCGGAAAAGCAACTTATTTGTCAGAGCTATTGAGCTAAGCTTCAAAGCATATGAAGTGGAGGTGGATTTCCTGCTAGAATTCTTCACATGGCTCCAATTTTTGAGATATTTGAAGAAAAGAACAGGACCTTATTCTATTGTGTATGATGAAAGCAAGCAGCTTACTGAAAAGAATGTCACAAAGAACTCCAGAAAGATTTAGGTTCTTAGCCAGTATCATTTTACCATGAATGTCATAATTTTTTGGTGACATCTGTTTCTCACAGCAGCAGAAATAACATGTTGATATTGAGGAAAGCAGCTATTTGTCAGAGCTATCGAACTAAGTTCAAAGCACGTGATGCCAAGGAGGATTTCCTCTCTCTAGAATTTTTGTGGGCCTCCAAAGTTTTACCCTAGGTACCAGAGCTACACAATTTTGAGCGTGTAAACAGATCAAACACATCATTTTAGGCACATATCATGCATGAGGAATAATGATCTGTGCATAAATCGCCCAGTTTTCAATTTGTTTTGCCACAGAGAGGAGTTCTTTGATGGTGTCTTGGCTGCTTATTTACGTCACAACACGTGTGGAACCATGGATCAGGCCAAACAAATTTCTGTTATCACTGTAATGTTACAATGAAAGCAAGGGACTCACCGGTCATCAAATTGGCTGCTTTTACCGCTTGTGTCTTATTGAATGTGTCGTTTAAATGTATTTTTGTCATAGTTTTCATGTATATGATCTTTCGACTTGAAAACTGTGTCAGCAGTTTTCGAAATTCCTTCCCTGCTGATGTCAGATTTGCCGGAGCGATTCCCGCGGGTTTTAGAGTAGTGCCCAGGCTCCAGTTTTATCGAGGAGGTGAATGTTGATGGTGAAATGTTGGCTGTTTTTTGATGAATTTCTATATATATCGTGAATAAGATTTTAAACAAACACTTTTAATTAATGTTGTATAACCTTTTCAAATATAGGACAAAAGTTCAACAGAGTTATTTTCAAATACCCTTTACCTAAGACAAATTCAAAGAGAAAGGCAGCAAAGTGTTTCGAAAGTTTTTTGATATTGTGTTTGAACAGATAAACAAACAGTCAATGACTTATTTACATTCATTCGTTCATTCTACATTCCTATTACAAACATCTAGTAGACATTTTTGCGAACATAATGACATAAAACACTCGAATTTCTGGTGAACGTAAGATGGAGGTGGCTTGTTAAACTGACGTTAAGAATTGTTCACTTTGCTTGCAAATATCAACTTAAACACTTTGAAACTCCATTTTGAAAGTTCCATATTGCGCAGCAAGCTGCTATACTGCATGTCATAAGAGGTTGTAGGACAACCTGATCAATCATCTGCAACATAGACCTTAGTAGGCCATTTACCGTTTGTTTTTGCGAGCTTGCTTTTTAGTAAAACTATGCCTTGGTTCAAGTACTCACATTACACTGTATTCTAGATAGAAAACGAAAATCGCGAATTAGTTCTTATTTGAAATAGAGAGGCTGCTAGTTGTAATGAAAACATATAGAAATTGCGTAGCAACATATATCATATTTATAATCGCCTGAAAGTTTCGTCACAATTATTTTTATGATTCAGTTGTTATCTTTTTCGCAATATCAACAAATAACCAAACTTGGATATTTCTAGATGAATTAAAAATTGCAATGTATTTTTAAGGGATTGATAAATACCGTAAGCTTGGAATACCTGCCAAAAAGTTGGTTCTTGGACTGCCATGGTATGGATACAACTACCCCTGCACAAAGTTTGAAAAAAACGTCTGTGCAATTAAAAAAGTTCCATTCAGAGGGGTCGAATGTAGTGACGCTGCAGGGACACAGTATTGCTACTCCAACATAATGTCGACCTATTTGCCAATGGCTATCGACGGAAGACACTTTGACGAACAGAGCCAGACTCCATTTTTCAATTACAAGGAAACAAGCGGTAAGATCCATCAAATTTGGTATGATGATCCTGACAGTCTGGCAAGAAAGTATGCACATGGAATTAACGATCTTGGTTTGCGTGGATTGGCATTCTGGAATATCGATTGTTTGAATTACACTGAAAATGCACAAGCTAAAAAGGAAACTAAAAAAATGTGGGATTCTGTTTTTGTTCATTAGATTGTTCATTAGTTTCTAAGAAATTGCCAAATAAAAATTTGCTTGTTAGATTTTGAAAATTCTATACGTGCTTGAATTTGCATGCTGAAATACTGCGCTAAAATTGTAAAATTTGTAAGAAAGAGATGAAATTATAAACATAGATATCACATGGAGCAAAAAATAATGCAATTTGTGTTTTCTTTTACATGTTTTACTCCTTAAAATGGCACTTCTTTTGGCGTTCTTGATAGTCGCACGACAAACGAGGGCCATTATAATAAGCTATGTGACTAATACTTGCCATATTTGCATGGTAACACTTGCCATAAGGTCACTTTGCATTCCATTACTGTACCAGTTACATTACGTATTTTGATCCTTTCAAAAACTGTTATGCGACTAAAGGGCTTTATAAGACTACCTGGTAATTATAACACCTAAAGCAAGTTATATTATGAACTGTCGATAACGTACCGGACGTACCGTATAAAAACTGGTCATTGGAAAAGAGACAAGAGGTGCAAAAACACAAACATTTTTATGAGGTTCATACAGGCAGGCGTCTTGGACACAACTTTATATATTAATCAAATCTACAACTTTATTGTTTCCTCTTTTACACCAGGCTCCGAGGAAACATATTAACTTAAATTGAATTAGTTCATTAACAACAATTTCCTCCATTATACAAGCATAACTTAAAATTTCACTACTATGAACATACTTACAATAAAGTTCTCTAGTCGTATTTCTGTACGGATGGTTGACCACAAGGATATATTTTCGCTCCTTGGTTTACGCAGGAGCTGTGGGTTTACTTGAGGCTACGGTGCTTACTAAAGACTGCTTAATTTGTGAGGCAGCTGGGGTATTCTGGGGGCTATTTTATGGGGGACTGCATAAACGGCTTAGGGTTGTGGGTTTGAAGGGAGCTGTGGGGTTCTGGAAACTACAGAGTTTATTGGCGCTGTGGGGTTTATTGGAAGTCGTGGGATCACTGGGGTACATTTATTGTATTTTGTTGGGCTCATTGAAGGTTGTTAGGCTTATTGGAGACTATGAGGGTAACTGGGGCTGTCTGAGTTCTGGAATATAAATAAGATTTTGATTCCTGATTAGAAGATTTAAGACCATTTTTCAAATGTAATCAACTCAAGATATTTGCAGTGTTTCAGAGCCTGATAACATGTAGCACCTTGGCCTGACAACCAGCCCATTTTTCTAAAGGAACAGGTCTTATCCCTTTAGAATAATGGGCTGGCTATCAGGCTAGTAGCACCGGACCACAGAATAGGGAAATAACTTAGCCGTCGAGTGCTTGTATAACATACAATGACGTATAGCTAGCTAATTAAGTACTTGTGTGCTTAGGCGATCCCTGCATGTTTTCTAGCATATTTTTGCTAATCATGTATTTTGAAAGCAGTAGCTATAACTTGCATTATCTCTGCCCGAAACATTTAATCGTTTAAGTATATATTTATCTGCGCAACATCCAATTATCCCGTTGAACTCACAGCTCATCCGCATCTGCTTATTGCCTTGATAAATACGAAGGTTCTGTTATCCTATGGAAACCACTTGTGCATTTTCTCAAATGAGTGGTTTTACGTGACACTATATTTGCAAATTAAAACATAAAAGATTTAAAATCCTTCTCAGTCCAGATTACCAAAACATTCAGAGCTTATGCCAAATGTTAGAGCTTCGAAAATGCAATGATGACAAAGTAATTAGCGAAGCCTTCAAAACTCGTTTTAACTTTCAAGAAAATTCAAGCACATTGGCTTTGTCGTGTTTATATACAAGAAAATTTATACTCGTTCACGAATAATTTCTCTGCAAACAGCATTCTTAGTATTTTATCCAATGTTTGGTTGATTAAGCACGTGATCAATTAGTCTATGACATAGGACGATGTCACAAAGCCTCCGCTGCTTTGATCGTTTAATACAAAGTTACATATTCTCAAAGTACATTGGCGTTGTTCCAGCCACTTGCGTTTATGATATCATCACTCAACTTTGTGCTCATACATCAGTTTCGTCTTAGCATCTCCCATCCTCACCAAACTAGTTGTTTCTTTATCAACATAGCATGTAAAGTTTCTCAGCATCATTTCTACTTTCATGAACAATGATTTATCTATCAATTAATCAACCTTCGTAGAATCAATGATCAAGAAAAAGCCAGCGCTCTCATTGCCACTGTTGATAACTCTGAACCTCTTTAGTGAGTGGCTCATTTTCTACGTCATTACTGGTATGCCCTACTACTTAATCTACTATAGTATCTTTCTTGATGAACCGCGCGAATATTCTCTTATCTGCTACGACTCAGCAATATTCGAGCGGCGCGAATAAACCCTTTGAGTTGCCAACAATAGATAATCGGGTTGAGAGTCGAGTTCATGAGCGCCAGAGTTCCAGTCCAGCCATGTGCAATGTGAAGAGATGTTGTTGGTTCGACAAGTAGATATAGTATCACGACAACGCCATGTGGAATGTAACATAGATATTGTGCGCCTATAATTAGTGCGGTTACCTTTATAGCGTTGAGATTGTCTTTCGCCTTTCTTTTTATTTCCCTTAACTCCGCACGGGCAGTTTCTGCGGTCTGCACGGTATACGCGCAGCTTCCATCAGTTGGTTCAGAAACACACTGACTTTCGAAAACTGACGTCTCAGGCTCGACTGTTGAGTGGTTCGTCGGACGGATTTCTCTCAGAATTTGCCGCGTGATGTTAAGGATTTTGCCTTGGGAGTAGACACTCCAAATAAGCAGAACAAGTAGCGTAATGGCAACAAATATCGTATAAAGCATGAAATTTGGCGTGAAAAAACTGCCCGCGACGAAGACAAGGGAAACAGCCCACGCTAGAAGTAATGCATATAGAATATTTCTTCTCGTGCAGGTATACATCTCGTATTCATACGGATGAAAGACAGCTATGTATCGGTCTGTGGCTATAAGCACTAACGTAAGGACTCCGTTGTGTCCGAAGAAGTACCCAACGAAATTAAGTGTCAGTCGCAAGGCACATGGCGTCTTTGCCGCGCTAAAGTAGAAGTTTAATGTTGCGTTCAAAGGAAATGTTATAAATCCGGTACACAAGTCACATGTTGCAAGTCCAGCAATGAACATATTTGAAGAGGTATGCAGAGATTTTGATTTGTATATTACTACTAAGGTGAACAGATTTAGGGTGCTTGTAAGGGCTGCCAAAATAACATCCAAGAGACCGACTGAAAGGAAGCTCCATTTAAAGGCCGAACTATACACGTATGTTTCCCTGAAGAAATGACACCTTGTCTCAAATACGAAAATGGTGCTGTCTGTTTGGCTGATTGAAGTATTAGGCCATGTATTGTTCATGATCAATGTGCAGATGCTCTACATTCCTAGCAGTTGTAGCAAATGTCGTTTCTTCTTCTTGAAGTTCCAGAAGTCAGATGACAGCTCAGCAAAGCTCTTACAACAACGCTTGACAGCTGAGGGCCTTGTTGAACTGCATTTCTACTAGAAAAGAGAATTTATATACATAAGTAAATCGGAAAGCCAATAGACTGGATCGATGATGCCATAATTAGCGAACAGGATTCGACAGACGCGTGCTTCTTATCAATTAGAGGTGTCATAAGTCGTCTACGAAAGAAGAAACATTTTTAATTTTTAAAGAGTTGTATTTCAAGATTAAGGTGAAATCTTGCTTCATTATAGCCCAAAAAACATCTCAAATCAGACGAATGCATTAAGCGTTATCATTGTGGGGATCATGGTGAAATTATCTAAATGTATGGCTGTATTTAGGCCAGAGCTTTATCTTATGTAGCGGGTATTGCAATATTCATCACCAGTAAAGTAATCTATAAATTGATCTGTTTGTGATTTTGTCACTTTATACCAAAAATGTCTTTCTGTGACATGAAGTGGTTTATCAGGTTGAAAATCCGTTCAAACTTTCAATAAACGAATATAGAAATTGACAACTGTAGGAGATAAGAATAATTTCAAAAAAATTGGCTTTATTAAAAGAAGCAAATTTTCTGTTTATCGCAGCGAAGTCACATACAATACTTTTCATGTAAGCTAAATTTTCGTTTACAACCAGGCGACAAGCTAGTTATATGTGTCAGATTTCATTAAAGAAAGCAATAAATGAAGCCAACAATGATGTCACGAGGCTCTTTCTTGGTGAGTTAACTTCGAGGCTCTTCAAGCTCTTTCAAGAAAGATGATTATTTAGTTTGGCCACAGAAGAGTTAATAATTTGTAATTCTATGTTTAAAGAGAGCAGGCCTTCTGAACCCTAGTGCCAAGTTAACTTGTTTCATTTTTCACTTTACACTTTTGTTTAAAAAGTCTTCACTTATGTTACATTTTTTGAATTTCTTTCAAAGAGAAGTAGACACTTGACATACTCATTCAACAAGATGACCATTATATTCACTACAATATCTTGATTTTGTAACCATCTTTGAGTTTTACGTATGTGAGAAATAATCATAACTAGCTATTGCAACTAGGTATTAAAAAGCTCTTTCAAGAAATATCCTAGATGTGGCTTTTACACCTAAAAATCTTCTCCAAAGGAAAAACGCAGCTGCAAACTACACCTTCGTTTGTTTATCATATTGGCATGTCCTGAAGAAAGGTTTACAAGATAAAGTGAAATGTTAAGGACATCTGATACCCAAACGTCAATGTCAAATTGATATTCCTTCTGGAAGCAACGTCTAATTGTCTAGCCATCTAAAAACACGTTGGAAGCTTGCTTTAATAAAACATTTGTTATTTATGAGAATTACCGGTCTTTCATATAGTGCTCGATGCCGTTTAGGCAGAGTTGTGCATGCTCTGGTGTGCTCTTTATCAATAGTTTAATAGTTTAACATTTGCTATTATATAGCATCTCCCCGTTTAGTTCGCTCTGTGTGCAAGATTTTCCTTACCTTGTGCAAGAGTTCCTTGGTTTATAAAGACTTATTCAATTATGGAATCTAACTATTAAACAAACTTCTACTTATGACTGTTTGTAAGTTCAATTCTGTTGAATCGCTTTAGAAATACCTTTACTCTAACTGCAGTCGTTTACCGCGTGAGCGCTGCCGTTGGCTGTTGATCTCGTATTTCTCGTCGACTGATTTTAACTCTAACTAAATAGATTTGGTGATCTTAAAGATCAGCATCTTATAACCGGAAACCTTCTTGGAAATCTTCTTGGATGAATTAATTTCTGTAACAAAATGCCAACGGGAAGCAAGAATGCATAAATGCACTCCTAGCATCATGTATTGGAATTCGTTATACAAAAACTTGGTGAAAAACTGTGAAGTTCTATTTCTTGAACTCGGTTGTCTCCTGTTGCATGCTAGAAATTAATTATGCATCAAAAGAGACACGGCGAGGCGTAGAAATATTAATAGAATAGAGAAGAGGAAATGGGCAGTCCGTTGTAACATAACACTAAGTTTTTAGATATAACAGCCATTTTATGCTATGCCCTTTTCAAAAGCTAGGAACAAATGATTTTTAAAAACTGGATGCTGGGAATCAATTCGTAGTTATTGAATAAAATGAGTAGCAAGATTCAAAGCAAATATGGCTCTATCTTTCATTCAAAAATATTCTATTCAATAATTTTAAGAGAGAACATTTTTCTAAGAAAAAAGGCCTTGCTTTTTGACTTATTTTTTGTGGACACTATCCCTAAAGAAATTTCCAGTTTGCTAGAATATTTATTTTAATAACCAGTAGCAACAAATGTTAGCAAGTATTTTAAAAAAGCCCAGGAAAGTGAAAAACATATTTTACTGAAGTTAACTGTTCGTCCATTTTGCCTCAGATTAAACAACTTCAAATAATGACCCAAAAGTTAGAAAAAATGTATTTATTGATATTTATATGCAGTTTCAAATCTGAAGTTACGTAAAATGTGTTTGATTGGTTATACATTCAGATCTCTCTGGGGCCAAATAATGCTTTGAAACCATAGACTACGAGCATTTAAAGCTTGCCTTCTCCCTTGTCTTTTTCATCAGATTCTTATATATTTTCTTAAAAAAACTTTTTCTTATGTTTTCACAATTATAGAGTCCAGAAAACATAACGGTTCTACGGCTGTGAGCCGGAGGAAGGTTGTCCAATGATACTGTAGTTTATTGGTCTTTAAAGTGAATGGAATTTACTGTTTCCTAGAAGTGTACAGACCAAACTTTAGATGATTTAACTCAAATTTCTATTCTAAGAAACTTCCATTCAAAAGTTTAAGAAAAAAATTTGAGGAAGGCAATGTGAAGATGTTGTATTGTGATTTTATATTGTAAAATAGGCTATAAGAGAAAAATGAGATGAAGGCGTGCCGGATGATAGTTAAAGGATTCAGAGTAAAGTTGAGTAGAAGAAAAGATGTTTGAGAAATTGAAGGGAATATTGAGGAGAATTCGCGAGGTTTTTTTGTGTGTTATTCTTGCTAAGTCGGACACCCGGAGGAAGGTTGAAAATTTAATTGCCACGGATGGAAATAAACGTATGCAACCAATCTAAGTTAATTTAATTTTCTGCCCATTGAGCAAAAAAAGCTAAACTCGAACTTCAAATGATCGATTTTAATGATATCTTTCTACAATATTTAGGGAGTTGCCATGAACCTCATGTCATGTGGCAAAGTTCCCACATGCCTTGATTGGGAATGCCATTTAATACTATAACCAGGAAATCCACCGATTCGTTTAATCCAAACATGCGAGGCAAGATTATCTGTGTAAACGTCTCGTATTTCTTCAATTGGATGAAAAAAGCTTTTCTTGCTAACATTCCCCAAAATTTTCAAAGACCACACCAAAATTTTCAAAGGCCTCGTATATCCTCTCTAGCCAATATGAAAGGGTATGCGATGGCTTCTTTGATACATCCATCATTTGACACCTGATTGGCGTATTTTGCATTGTCACGTTCCTTTTTTCGTCAAGATTTAATCAAGAAACATAATTTTATAAAATATCTGGCAATTTATATAACTTTATCGGTCAACGGTTCTTATTAGTGAACAGGCAACTAATATAAGCCACTATATTAATAGAGGCAACGTTATACAATTCCCTAGCACTTTTGGGATGTTTATTATTGATGTTTCCTTAGCCAAGCTATACCTTGATGTAAATCAAAATCATCGTTATCATCTTTTATCCTTTAATAAATCTATAGTTGTCTATAAAAAATGTAAAACTCATGAACAAAAGCCAAATGACACAAACTACAATATTATGTTTTTGCAATATAAGCCAATGATAAGGTGACAATGCAATCGCTTTGTTTTTTGCTAATTTTTGAGCTATCAATATTATAGTTATTCTTGAATTGTATTTTATATCAAGAATTGTAACCGATGTCAATCGAAAGTTCACCATTTATACTGTACCGTGATAACACTGTCGTTAGATTCGCGATAACTAAAACTTACTGTTGCTGGGAAACAACATAACAAGCATGGTACGATTAATGTTTCTTTGTATGCAGCCACCATTTTGAGAATTAAGACTTTTTATATAACATAACTGAGATTTAAAATCGTAATGATCGTTTAACTTACTGCCTATGGAAATAGCAACATACTAAAAATTAAGCAGTTTTAAGCAACACTGGGGTAGTCAAGTTTCAATTAGACATAAATTAACAATGCTCTAACGTACCTCACAAAATTTTCATCTAAGAAAGAATTCAAAAGTCTTCAGCTATATTCAAGTCATTTCAAGTTGTTAACACACAATCTACAACAAAAAATGGTAGCTGAATGTCTACTTGATTAGCAAAGTTACTTTCTTCGCACCTGCAATTATAAAAATGCCTTCCCTTCTTCAAAAATGTGTCACGCAGCTAACAGAACCCAGCCAGCCTCTGAACAGCGTTTGTGACGGAACTAATAATTTCAACTGTTCGAGCTCCATCATAAACGAGGTCATAACAGCGAATCTTTGAGTAAATTTAGATTTAGGAAGACACTTGCTCCCTATTTGACAAGAATTCAAGTTAATACATGGCTTAGTGGTGAATTACTAAACCATCCGAGTTTTAGAAAAGAGCGAGAATGAGCTAATGGAATTAATTAAATTTGCTTTTGGTTCATTTTCAAAGGATTCAGAAAGTACAGTCCAGAGTATACTGAATATTGATGGACGTAGTATTGAACTATACAATCTAATAAGAAATGATGTGTTAAAAGCATGGACAGAGAAGAACTAAATTAAGTTCGCCATTATCAAGCTAGCGATAAATACACAAAAATGAACTGTACAATAGATGACACTGGAAAAAACAACTTTGTTTATGACGTCAAACAAGATCTTCCTGCAAAAAGATATTTTTTTCTACTTTAGCATGCCCAGGGCATTTGTATTTTGAAATGATACATGAACTAAATGGAAAGATTGATTATGGTATCTTCATTCTTTTGCAGCGTACTCAAGCATGCAAGATACGACTGTTGGTAATAGTTCGGATTTCTCAATAATTTTAAAACGGAGAAATCAGAAAAAGGATGCGTTATTTTTCATCTTTAATTGCTGAAATATATTTGTTTTAAAAAGCCATTGCTGGACAAGATTCGTCGACAGCAGACGAAGCATTTGCAAAATCGCCTATCTTATCATGTCAAATAGTCAGCTTTCGACCTCTGCCGAGTCATTTGTCTTAAAAAAACAAGATCCAAATACTTGACTCAGGATCACATAAAAACCTATATTTTGACAGTTGTTAGCTTGAAATGTAGGGCTGTAATTAGGACCTTTTTCCTTTGATAATTAATAACGCAGGCAATTAACTAACTTGAAATATTACAGATAACTTTAGAAAGATTTATGTACTTCAGACAGTTACATTTTTCTATCAACATCATGAATGTTTGTTGACTTTAGGTTCCCAACGCAGGTGTCACGTTCTTATAGCGAAATAATATGCTCATGTTGAGCAAAGCCACTAATTTGTCAAAACTGCCGAGCTAAGCTTCATTACAAATGACGTCAAAGTGGATTTCGTGCTAGCATTCTTCATGTGGTTCTTATGTTTTGAAAAATACGAAGAAAATTTGATCACGCAACTGACCTAGCAGATGGCTCTCTTTCTAACCTATGAAATGGAGAAATGTATTTTGGGAATTTTTTTGCTCACGATTCAAATTAAAGTATGATTAGATATATGCTAAAAAAATAAATTTATAAAAAGTATATTTTTCTTTATAGAATATTAAAGCTACTAAATATCCTTTACATATATTGTAAATAAGCTAGATAAATTCAATGGAAAGATTCCTTGTGTCTAAAAATATTATGCAAAATTTCACATTACTTAATGTTCTTCTAAGTTTCTTTACATGACATTGGAAATTTTGACAATTGAAATAGCTATCTATATGATATTGTTAAATAGAGACGCATCTGGGTTGTCTTTAGATGGAATGTCAGTCGAACTTTTTCTGAGACCATGGATGGCATGTTGGTGTTAATTAGGTGTTTGTTAGCTTTTGTTGTGTAAACAAATCTCAAATAAAGTGAATAAAAACCAGACAAGGACAAAGAAAAGAGATAAAAAGGCAGAGTATGTTTTTCAGTTTCTTTTCACGGTTTTAAGAAGACAAGAGAATATATTGAGATCTATCCAAATCTAAGTGTCAGTGCACTGTATATGTTCATATATTTGTCCGCTATTTTAATTGCTTAATTCAAAAGACCTATACCGAATAGGACGTAAAAAAGTACTAGCAAATCATTATGCATCTGTCCCATTTCTTGTATTAAATTCTTCTCGAGTATATTGCAGCCAAAATGATTTTATCAACTGATTGTATGGGGCATTACTGTGGTCCACGCCATAAAAAATTATTCAAAATTTACTCAAACGTTACATCGGTAATAACGTCGACTGACAGTCTTTATAAAATATCTAAAGAATATTGATATTTGAAATAAAGAATTTTTAAACAATAATGATAGCGCTATAACTCATAGTTGAATTCTACACTCTAAGATGTTAAAAGGGGGTGGAAAACCTGCTTAAAGCTATGCCCTGACAAAAAACAAGCTGCATTAAATATCTTTATTGCTAACAATCAATTGAGCTAGAGTTTCATTCAAATGCTCATAACTTTTCTACAATTTATTGAAATGTATGTATTATAATGCGAAAACGCATTTGGCTTTCAATTTTATATTTAGTAAAATGATATTTGATGAAAGGCAACCAAACTGATCATAAAATCACTCGAACAATGAAGAATTTGCACCAGTCAATAAGAACTATGATAATTCAAGTTGTATATGCTTTCTCATTGAACTTGTAGATTTGATTTCTGAAAACACATTTGAATCCAATCCTATTTCTAATAACATGTAACTGATAACTTGGTTTAACATTTAGGGCCATGACGAATTTGCGCCAATCAATGAGAACTATGATAATTCAAGTTGTATATGCTTCCTCACTGAACTTGTAGATTTGATTTCCGAAAACATATATGAATCCAATCCTATTTCTAAGAACGTGTAACTGATAACGCGGTTTAACCTTTAGGGCCAGGAACAAAAAAAATGTCAATTAATGCTGTAAATGCAAGCTTTAAATTTTGCCGTTACTACTTACGTTAATTATACTGAGAGTTGCAACTCAGCTCTTGAATTTGCTATGGAGCTGCTTTTCGCCAAACAGCTGTGCTACTAACTATTTTGCACGGTCTGTATTTTATATACTGTTATGCAAATAGGTCCCTTGTTGCTCTTCCCACGGACTGACCACGAGAACTTAAATATTAAACACTTTTGGCTGTTAATTGATTCAAAATCATCGATTTTTCTTAACAGCCTCAAAAATTGCATGCTATGCATCCACTTTAATATTATGATAGTGAAAAAGCAAAAGTTTGCCTGCACTCCACGCAGAATCACAGTTTTTTCCAGGGAATTCTTGATCGATGGAGGCAAAATACTGTAAACTACGTACCCATCGAGATTAGGTTGGACTTTTTCAGTTCGATTGATTTAGGTTCACGAAAGATTTCGTCGAAAGAACAGGAAAGGGGAAACTCTGATTTCACAAAACCTCTCTCAGCTAATATTTACAAGAAATCTAAAAGGCTTAAAAGTTAATTACAAATGATAGGCTTATTTATGCTTACTAGAAATTTTGATTATATAATGTTAACGAAAAAGTAAAAAATATATGATGATGATTATAGAAAACTATGTCAATCTGACACCATTTTCACAGCTCTGCGAATACTAAGAAAACAGCTGTTACCAAGAGATTGACTGGGGTGTATGTTTTCTTCCCAAAATGTTGGTTAGAAAATTTAGAAATGTTTTCTCCTTCCATTTTAATATGGCTTTTAGATTATTATTTGCTCTTTAATCCTAAGTTTCCTAGCAGCATATACCCTTGCAAAAGAATGTTCTGGGTAAAAAATGCAGTTTTCACTTTCAACTCCACGTTCTTTCATGAAATTAGAAATTAGAAAACACTTTTGTAATCAACCATAAGATCTGGCGTCACAACATTATATGGCATCCTATAAAAAACAAATAACTGACATAAATATGAATAAAATCCCACTTGTTTGAATGCACACTCTACTAGAATATTTTATATATAGGCCATCATGTCTAATATTCCATCTGTTTAAGACGGTTATTAGACAAATGACTCCGATCAAATGTAATGTAAATGTTACAAATGTAAAGGTGTGAGGATGGCTCAGTTGCTAGAGGCGCTGACTACAGACCCAAGGGTCCGTGGTTCGAGCCCCTGGCATGACCAAACTTTCACCCAGAGTGGGGAGAGTCGCCAGCTATCTGTAATCCAGGCGTAGGAATCACGAGGTGTGGTCACATCGAGAGGAAGGACCAGGACACTGCTCGACAAGCATAGCTTCTCAGTGTCCTAAAAATTACCTTCGGATGCTAGGTAGCAACAAATACAAATACAAAACAAAATGTTACTTAATCAAAAAGCTTATAAACGAAGAAATATTTTTTTATTAGGGCGTGTCGAGCATGACTGTTCATCAGGTTAAAGAAAAGGGAGAGTGAAAGTTGAAAATTGAGTAAAGGTGTAGAATTGAAGGATTGGGTGTATATGGCGCGAAAGTTAAGACTTACAATGCAAAACAAGGTGAGAAGGATGCCTAAAAAACAAGAAAGAATCAACATGAGATTTAAAAATATGATGCACCGTATTATTTCTTTTCTTAATCTAACGTTTGAATAAATGTGACTTTTTCATTGAAGCCATATATCAAGTATCACTTATCTAAAAGAAGATATCTAGATGATTGTTACCATGGGTACCAGAGCTTCAGGGAAAGTGACTGTCAAGGCTCTTTCACCGATCCACTATTTAAGGCTCTAGCACCCAAGGTAGATGATTGCATTATCTATACAGTACAGAGGAGAAGTACAGTTGCTTTTCTTGCAAAAGGTGGACCGTGATTGATTCATTGCAATCATCAATTGATAAATCTTACCGGGCAATGATGTATAGCAACCGGACGATTGCACGTACTAGAAAAGTATTGATAGTGTGTAACAATTGGCAGTGGACATTTCAGCCTAGCCTTATACGTAATAGACAGTGATGATTTCCTTGTATTAAAGATCATTATGTATACTTAGCAAAAAATAAATAAAATCATATCAGGCAGAAATAAACAGTTATTTGTTGACTCGATAAAGAATAAGATTGATTACAAAACTTGTCAATCATTGATGTGTGGCTATCAGTTTATCAATTCGTGTAGATCAATTATCAGTACTAATGCATAACCTTAAATGATAGGCAATGATCAATTGATCATAATAATCAAATGCTTATCGATAGGCAATGATCAATTGATCATAATAATCAAATGCTTAACAGAACTGCCCTTCATCAGATAACGACGATTAACCTAATTGTTGATAAACTAGACAAAAGAACGAAAGCCATCAATATGCATTTTTAAGAAATGACATTGGTAGAAGTTTCTTCATTTAAGAAAATTGGCGCTAAATGTTTTACTGTAGCTATTACAGAAGCACGCCACCCTTGGCAGTCAGCAAATCTTTGGTACAGTAACCAGAAATTAACCTTGTAATCTTATTCTATTAACCTTGTAATTAGTACAACACGCACAACTTCATTGATTACCAGAAAATAACCTTGTATTCTTCAGCCTATTTCAGAGATCTATTTCCCTGGCCGCAACTATCATTCTTTTTCAATAAACAATCATTTTTGCTCTATTGTTTATCCCTAAAGTTACGCTTACAATTTATGTTCATTCAGAGCTGCTGTATTGGTATGACATCATTAAGAGTCTCTTGACTGGCCTATATTGCTTAAAAACAATAGGCCATACACGTAATCACGCAAACGGCCCCACGCTGACCACATTTTATATTTTCTTCCCAATAAGACATCAGTGCTTTTGGTTCCCACAAATGCACATTAGCCGAAAGCCTCCTACATCCAAATACAGGCTTGCCGACAGTTAACCTGTGCCCGTCAGGTAGAATGACCAGTCATAATGATATGTAAATACTTAAAAATTAATTAGCGGCTCATGGCTGTTCAAAGGCAGATCAGTCATAGATCAGCCAAATAAAATTACATGGTCAAAAATCTATTAATTTTTTTGAATATTCTGATTTAGTTATGAATTATGAATGAACGATGATCGACAAGAGAATTTCTTTAGCGTAATATAAGGAGTAACAAGTCACGGATGTTTAAATTTTCAACTTTAGATACTCGTTCTTCTAAGTCCTATATGACGGGAGGGGCGAGAATTCAACCTTCTTGATGATTTTATTCTTAATTTGTTTTGCAACTAGAAATCTGCCATCTTTGGCATTTAAGTTATCATAGCAACATCCAGTACAAAGAAGTAGCATCCTTCCAAAGTACAAGGAATTTTTTCAGCAATGACTATGTTATGTACAGTATTTCCCAACTCCAAAACTCCAACACCAAATTGTAAGTCTATATTGATAAGTTAATTTCATATACGCCCACGTTTCGTTTCATAGAAAGTATATGTACCTCAATTTACTTTAAACACCTTAAACGACGGCCAAATTTTCAATAAATAATTTTTATACAATGGTAGTTTCTTGAAGGTTTCTTAAACAGCTCAGTTGCAACATGAACCCAGGCACAGTCTTTATGTCAGTATGCTCTAATATAAAGACAATTCAGAGATTGTGCAGTCTATATGTTAAGTTATATCACTGTAAGAACATCCCTGCGAAGAATTTACTGTTTGTTTCTTCTACATGGAACATCTTTTATAGCCGTGCCTTGCTTGTAAACTCGCCGTGTAACAGGCACTCGCACAAGAATCTTCGTGATTTCAGTGACTTCAAAAGCTGTCTTGTTCCGGTTAACATTCAGCTAGCATTCACTTGTCTATTAATACCTAGATCTCGAAAAGTAGTGATTGCAAACAGACGAAAGGGAAAAATCTTGCTAGTTTGCGGATCCGATGGCTAGTTTGACGCTGTGGATAATTGCTCGAAATGTTGTGTTTTGTAAGTAAACTTTGTGAAAATTCTATTGCTATGAAAAGTATGAAAGCTCAGCTTCTAAACAATAGGATTGAATTGTTTTAAACCATACAATAACACGTGTCGCAATCTACGCAGTTTCATTGTGTCCAGTTTTGATACGTCGATGCTTGTGAATCTAATTTTGACAACAGTACACTTGTACCTATTTTTCTTTACCAACCCCAAAATAAAGTAATACTGTTTCGCAGATTAGCAAAAATTTGAAGTGAAAAAGTATGGCACACCAAATCTAGTGAGAATCTCACTGGGTATGGTCATGCCTTTGAACGTATAAATATACCAATACAACAAAATAAACGCATACCTTTATCGAAATGATAATATAAAGCAGAAATTTCTTTATTCTTTGATACGAGTTATTCCATTTATGCACTAGCTAGCTGCTTTCTTTTGAGCAACACGCTTCAGGATTATGACACCAGCTTTCAAAAAGACTTGCAACAAACATTTTAAAGTGAGGAGTAAGCTTTCGGTTTTAATTTTACACAGCTGCCCATAACCCTCAAGTTTGTTATCATGTGACGTAATTTGCAAACTCAGAAAGCTTTTCTTGCGCCGTTTTATGGCACGAGCATCATTCGGATTACGAAAGCAGGAGATTCCAGACAAGGAAGAAAAAAGCCTTGATTTATACTTGTAACTCGAAATACCGTTAATAGAATGCGTAAGCAACGGGTTTTCATCATTGACTATATCAACAGCAAAAAATGGTATTTACTACGTTAATGCGTCAACATAGAAACGTGCTTGCAGCCTATTTCCGACTACAAACCAGATCCTCAGTAAGTCACCAATTAGGCATGACAACTGGCCTTTTTGACATTGTAAGCAGTGTCTCTACTGCTTTCAAAAACATCTCTTACAAAACTAGTTTGTGTCTAAATATTTTTAATGCTATAGCAAGCACTCACACGAAATTTGTTTAGAAACTCTAAACATTCAAGTTTTTTTTGTTCAATTTTTTAGATTGCTTATTAAAAGAAGATCAGCTAATTTCCTTGATCGGTATCGACCAATATAGAATGTTGCTGGAGACACTTGTCTCTTTCGAATTTGACCAGAAAGGCTAAAGTTTAAACTGCGTACAGACTCTAGGCAGTTGAAGGGAGGAAATCTTAGAAGACTCGTTTCTTTCTTATCTCTCCTCCACAGTATCTGTGAGTCGGATCTATGCGTTTACGAGCCAATGAAATGATCCGGTACGCTCCCATACCACATTCGCAACAACTTTGCTCCACAAAGACGATATGGAACATATCGGAGATTCAAGCATTGTCGTCTATTTTGGTAGGAAAAGTGATCCGATGCAAAACAGATCTAGTATTGGCAACATGGTCTTAGATTCTGTTGAAAAGCCTCGTGGGATACCTTAAAAATGTCCTATGTAGATGAAGTTATAAGATAAAAGGCATATAATTATGCATTCAAGAGACACTCGCGAGAGTTTCCTTTTTTCAACGAAAATCTGCTTTACCAATCTTTAATACAACGTAAGCAATCTAGTGACTTGCATTTTGAGCTGCTTTTTGGGAGTCGTGTCGAATTCATTCACTTTCTTCCGGTTTTAACTGACATGAACGTAAATTACAAACTGCATTATACACTTGAATGCTTGAATTTTGCGTAGTTAGCATCAGATGCAAAATTAATCAGGACAAAATGACATTCCTAGGTGTTAAGGCCCGGCCAAACAAATAAAACATCCGTCAAACATGGTCAAACATATTTGTACCAACATTGCTGGACAATGTTTTATGACCTGGCCAAACGAGTCAAACAACTGTTAAAACATCAGTTATGGTCAAGCACTGCTGCACAGCGTCCGTCAGTTACTGCGTTGTATTTTTCGAATTTTAACCTACTGAGCTTGCGTTAGTAAAACAAATGTTTTAAGGGGTGGCCACAAACGAACGCAACATTGTTGATCAAATATGAGAACAAAAGCGATGTTTTACGAAATGTTTGATGGAAATCAAATTTTGCAAAACATCATAGAACATCGTTAAACATGGTTGTCAAACGAAAAAAACATGTTTTATGCAACAATGTTGGATAATGTTTTATGCCGTTGTTTTATTCGTTTGGCCAGGGCTTTAAGCAACTTTAACAAATACATTCAAGTAGCTTTTCTCGCAAAAAAGACAAGTAACCCTAGCTTGATGCAGTACCAATGGATCCGTAGGAACGTTGCGAGCAATTGTGACGTAACGCCCAGTCTACCATACCATACGATGAATTTTAATCGCAAAATTTGCAGTGTTCCAGTAATTGTGAAGCATCACATGAGATTTCTGATTGTAAAACCAAGCTTTTGACCAATATGGCGATTTTAGTCTTTTTTCAACCAAATTGACTTCATTTTCGTAAAGGAATTGCAAAGCTAGAATCTAAGCTAAACTTGTTAATTCTCGAGGTTAGAGAGACGTTAATTAGCTACTAAGGCGTTTCCTCTACAGCTGTCCTTGTTCCATTATCTTTATTTATCTTTCGACACGAAGTTTCTGTATTTGCTATCTCTAGATTGCTTTGAAATTTCATAAATTACCTAATTCTTCTTAGCATCCAGCCAGTTTTTCATAAGAAACCTTCTATAGGATATTTCTGGTGTCATTTTCTGTACCTTGTTACTTCAATGTTTTAGCTTTTTCAATTTAGCTTCAAACTGCACATCAAGGAAATATTATTCCAAAACTCCCTTACTAAAGGGCTTACTAAAGGAGAATGTCACATTTTGGCCTGTACGGATACCTGATATATGGGTGACAATGTTGCTGCTGGAACTGTGCTGAAACTTTTAACATTCAACTGCAATTTTTACAGTAGCATTTCTTTTTGAAAACAAAAAGTAGAAACTTCAAATGATAGCAGATTTTGGAAGACTTCTTTTTTCCTAGAAGTTTACGAAAATTGTCAAAGTTTTATTCATACAACACAAAGCTAGATGTTCAGTCATTTACACAATTACCTGATGATGGCCCTGAGTGTGAAACTTTAACTAGCAATTTAGAACCGTCCTGTTCTATTCACCAAAAGCATGAACAGCTTTGCCTATTCGGCATCGAGCACTTTATGACAGACCGGTAAACAGTAATTTTCACGTTCAGTTATTATGTTGACCATCCATTACATTTATCATTGTTTATGCAGAGTTGCGGCACTAGTGTAGACTCACTGCAAGAAGACGTATACTCTTTGTACTAGACATGAGATGAACACAATGTGTATGAAGAAAATACTTACCTTTTTATCTAAAGGAAGTTCCTTATCGCCATTGTTATGCAGTAATACAACTGTTGTATGTTCTGTTCAAGGTTCCATGTGACAAGGAAGTCTGCTCTTATGATCACACTGAGACGCCGATCGCATCTAAGCCGCATGTTTCCAACACTACTAGCGATCAGTCGATGGCTCCAATGTTAACAGGGATCTGTTGATGTGACGTCAGCATTAATTTTCTTCACTTTTAAAATGGATGAAGATCATTAATCCACACGATCTGCCAGCAAATACCAGATCACGCTAGAATTCACCTGGTGAAATTGTTCAAAGATGATATACTCGATTGTCATCGAATTATCCTTAATCATAAAAACTTAGAAACCAGAACAAAATGAAATAAAAACACTATTATAAGAGAGCAAAATACACTACAATGCCGGTTAAAGAAAACCCAGCCGATTTATCTTCAAGTAACAAAACTGTTTTGAAAGCGCATCGGCCCTCATTCGAGGAAAAAGAAAATAATTTTATTATTAAATAGGATTTACAGGGAAGCGTGAAAAGAACTGATGTTTAAGAATAGATTGTTAATGCATGTTCTTTCCCAAACGATTATGATATCAACGCAATTTTCCGTGACGAGTACAGAAGTATGTTTTGTGATGTTTTAGCATCGAGCTAAATATGTATTCGAGGTTAGAAAGTTCTTTTGAATGAAATAAAAGGTGAATTTTGCTAAATAAAGACAAGCAGCAATGGATTGAGTAGATTATGCTGCTAAAATTGTTCGCTTGAATAACGATGTTTGAGCTGCTGAGTTTTCGGTTAATTTATTGGTGCAGCCACAATGATAACGAACACTTAGTATATTATAAACGAAGCGAGTAAGCTAAAAGAAAAAGCATCAGAAAAATAAAAACAGAACAACCAAAGCCAAGGTATAATGACAGAATAAACGTTTGTACAATCTTTCGGTCTTCCCAGTACGAATTTGATTAGTTAAGAAATCTTCTGTGAAACTTTTTCTCTTGTGAAAAATGCCTTAGTCGCTCTAGGTGCACGACGCCTGCAAAAAGATACACCTTCCAATGATCAATTACCAGGTTTGATTTTTCTATGTAGAGGTTTTAGCCATATTGTTTTAGTTTAAGCCACCTTTCTATGTTTTAGTTTTTTAGAACCTATGGAGCAGCAGATTGAGAATGGCAGAAAATGCTAAATCCTCTAATTTCAACAGCTCAGGTAAGCAAAGTTAACTTGCTTATGTCAAGCTTTGGTTGACATTTTTTACTAACGTTGACCTTTAGGCCTAAGGCATGTTTAAGTCACGGTTTGTGAATCGTTTCAATATTTATTTTAAAAGCTTCTTCAACATGATTTTTAGAATTTTAGGCTCTATTAGTTTATATTTAACATATATGATTAGTCAGAAAGTTATTTAAAAGATTAATATTTTAAATACCAGACTATTGTTATATGGGATGTTATTAAAATAATTTTTTGCAGCATGGCAGGTCATGGGTATCGACATTACAAATCGCATAAACATAAAAATAATAGTTAGGTATTAATTTTGAATGTTTGGGATTAACGCTACATGGTTTTGCCAAACATCCAGCCAGGCATGCAAAGCTCAGTTCTATTCGACAGTATGTTTCACTTGCCTATCTTATCAAAAAATGCCAGTTCTGTGTGATTTGCAAACAAATGGTTTGAGAAAATGAATTGAAATTGATACTGTGTGGCATTTATTGAAGATAATTATGATTCCTATTTCTAAGCCATAGTTGTTGGCCGAGGAAGTTCAATAAAACGCTGTAGTCTGGACTATTTTCGTGTACTTAATTAAAGTATAACTTGAGCCTTGAATACACTTGTAAAGAAAGGCTAATATTTTATGAACGGTGTTATCTTTAATACCTTAAATCCCCTTCTTTTATTTCATTTTATTCGCTACAGAATTCGCTACATTTAGCATTTTAATTTTAAGTTTCTCAAAAGAATGACCACACATACAAAAATCCGCTTAAAATTATTCTTCGTCTGCAAATATT